CATTTCATTTTCCAAGTACTTTTTTTTTTTTTTAAAAGCTTTTATTATGAATTGAGTGATAGTTTACATGGCAGAACATCAGTTTTGCATTCAACCAATTGTATTTTGTTTCACTGCAATGATTAATATCCCCTCGGTGCGCCAGAGTCCTGGTGTGGTGCTGTGGGTTAATGTGCCAGACTGCAAAGCCTTTTGAACTGCAAGGTCAGCGGTTCAAGCTCACCAGCTGCTCCTCGGAAACCCTATACAGGGTCGCTATGGGTTGGAACCGACTCGGCGGCACTTCACAATAACAACAACAACAACAACCGTGCACCATTGATTAACAGTATTTGCCTCTATTACCTCTTTTTATTTTTGATGTACAAAAAACACACAGGAATCTCTAATCGTTCAAACAACCAAAGGGCATATTTTGCAAGCCAGCTTCCTGCCCACCAGCACACAGCCTTTCTCTTTCAATGAGTCTCGAGTCCTCAGCTGCTCTCTCTCTCCCATAACATCATCTCTGTCTCCATCTCTGGTGTCACTGCTTCTCTGGTTAGGATCCCACACTCCTCTCATCCTCTTTCCTCTTGATGGTCCTAGGGTCCTCTGTTCCTGGAATGTAAGATTAACCACTCCCCACTTTTTGTTACACACCTTTACAGTTGTGACAATCGCAATGAGTCATGATTAACAATTACTCACTATTGAATCAAAGAATCTTATCCCTGTCTCCTTTCACCAGACCAACCTAGACAAAGTGAAAACTATTCAGTGGGGATTCTACCATCCCCCTCTTGCTCTCAAACGAAACTGCCTCTTGAAAGCTTGTAAGCCAGCCACTTTGTGCCTTTATAGTACACTCTCCCCTGCCCCATTTTAGATAGCCAATGTCTAAGATGTCCATCCCTATCAACACTGTGTACTAAGGGGATAAGCGTGATCCTTGATGTGAAGACTCCTTCCCTCTCAGGTGGTATTTTGAGCTATTACATACAAAAGTAAAGGTCAAGTTCATCAAATTGTAGCAGTTTACACTTGCTTCCTGTATCCAATTTCTTTACCTTCCTCTACTTGAGTTCTGATTAATGTTTGTTTTCTTCTCAGTGCATTTAAATTCAGATAATAATAAAAAATGTGATACTTGGAGCACAGAAAGAACACTTGTAAATCCAACAATAAAATATACTATTGGGAGTTGCTGCTGTTGTTAAGTGCTGTAGAGTCGGTTCCAATTCATAGCCACCCTGTATAGGGTTTCTGATGCTTTAAAACTTTGTGGGAGCACAAAGCCTCATCTTTCTCCCACGGAGTGACTGGCAGGCTCAAACCGCAGACCTTGCGGTTCGCAGTGCAGAGGAGGTAGACAATGCGATAAAGTTTTTTTAAGCGTATGCTTCTTCCTGCATGATTTTCAGTAGATACTATACAAAGGCCAGCTTCAGCAGAGGCAGCATTTATACGTGTATAGAGGAGCTTCTGGCCAAGGCTAAGGACAGTGGCAGGGGAGGCTCAAGGAGCTTCCAACAAGGGGATACTACTTGCTCACATTTTATAATGAGCACTGAAAGACAACAGGATCCCTGGTGGTGCTGCAGGCTAAGCAACAGGTTGCTAACTGCAAGGTCAGAAGTTCAAACCCACTAACTTTACCACAGAAGAAAGATGAGGCTGTCCTTGTAAAGATTTATAGTCTTGGAAACCTAAAGGAGCAATTCTACTCTGTCCTATAGGATCACTATGAGTGAGGAGAGGTAGGAGGAGCTGGAATATTGAGGAGAAAGGAGAACTTGAGAAGTGGTGGAGTGAAAGACTAAGTGAATGGCTCTCACACTTCCCTGGGCATCGGAATCACCTGGAAGCATTGTTAAAACACCATTTCTGAGTCAGTAGGTCTGGTGAGGACCTTCAGAATTCACAGTTTTCTACAGTTCCCAGGTTATGCTGTGTAGGGTTTCTGAGGCTGTACATTTCTATGGAAGCAGAAAGCCTCATCTTTCTCTCCAGAAGCAACTAATAGCAGTTGGCAGCCCAGCTTGTAATGCACTATGCTACCAGGGCAGTGAGCATACTGAAAGACAATGGTGGTGGTGGTGTGCCATGGAGTTGGTTCCCACTTACAGTGACCTTGTATACGGTTTCTGAGGCTGTAAATGTTTATGGGAGCAGAAAAACTCAACTTTCTCTCATAGAACCACTGGTAGTTTCGAACTACTGACCTTGAGATTAGCAGTCTGACTCATAACCACTAGGAAATATTATGGTCAGGGCCAGCAGTGCAAATAAGTAACATGCTCACTGAAGGTTTGGAGGTTTGAATCCACCTAGAGGCATCTCAGAAGAAAAGCTCGGCAATCTATTTCTGAAAAATCAGCCACTGAAAAACTCTATGGTGCACAGTCTACTCTGATACACATGGGGTTGACACCACCTGGAATCAGCTTGGCAGCACCTGGTACTGGTACCCTTCCTCCTTCTGGCAGAGAAACCAAAGAAATAATGTGAAGTTGAAAACAACAGAACAATATCAGACATCTTAGTGTGGAGAACGGCTATAGAAACTCCCAGCTGGATAATGTACCAAACAAGGAGGGAGATGATGTGAGTCTATGTTGATTGGTAAACTTTAAGTTCGGGATGTTTTATATTCCAACAAAATTTTATTTTTAGTTACTGAACCAAAAGGTCCAATATGAAACTAAAAATAAACTGAGTAATACTACTAAAAAATAGTAAATAAAAGCTTGTCAAAATACTAAAGCAGCCTGATCCAGTTCGAGGGTTTAATAATCCTGAGAGAAAGGCATGGAATGTATTCTTAAAAGACAGAAGCAATAGAAGCTCCTACATAGACATGGCTTTGGTTCTTCTTTCGTTAAAGTTTCCTTCCATAACTTGAACATCTTGCAAAAATCACAAGTAAGAAGGAAAAGTAAATACACGTAAGACAAGAAAAGGAAAACATGCAGGTAAAAAGAAAGTCAAGGTTTCAACTATTGTTCAATCAGTCTCAATAATAACAGCCACCCATAAAACATATTTCACAAGTTGCAAAAATAACATATTGCAAGAGTTAAATTCCAAAGTGCACAAGTCATTTAGTATCTCAACAATTTAATCCAGTGGGGTCTGGGAAAAATACCCATGAGCTTTTGATTTTCATCTAGACTTCTCACTTATCGAAAATTGTAGGTGTGGGTACACACACACACACACAGCACTTTTATTACACATCACAATAATTAACACTGTAAGCAAACTTATGTCAACATCTACCACTGATTATTAGCTGCCATGGAAAAAGTGAATCAGGGGACGGATGGTGCTTACAGCTGTAATATTTGATGCAGAAATGTCAAATAAAAGTAATTTCAATTTCACAAGTCAAATACCCACCTTTGAAGTCTTGTAACCTTTGTATGCTATTTCCATTTGCTACCTGCAGTAAGGGATCAAAGACAGATTTCCCCTACCATCCAACAATATTGATGAAGAAAGAAATGAAAATCAGGCAAAAATAGCTAAACATTTACTCTTAGATGAAATGTGCTAGATAATGACACACATCTCATATACTGTATTTGAATTGCTATTTGGGTGAATGGAGCTGACATTCTTGTCACTGCCTCCCTGGAAAGCACTGGGGTCCCCAGAGTTGCTGGAATGATTGAATAAAATGATGATACATGAGAAAGAGCTTTGTAAGCCACAAAACACTACCAAAAGGGAATGGATAATAGAAAGGTACATTTAGAATTACAGGGGATGATTAGGAAGGAAAAATTGTATGTTTTAAAAATCTCTAATATAATGTCACATACACAAGAATAACATGATATCGGGTAAATTCATTTCTTTTTCCAAATTTATTCTTACTGTCATAATGCTACCAATGCAGGCAAATCAGTCATGCTAGTTTGGGAAATGGAAGGATTATTAAAAAAAGGAAATTAGTTCTTAACTATCTATGTAATAAGGAGCCCCAGTGGCACAGTGGGCTCAGCACTGGGTTGCCAATGAAAAAGTTGGTGATTGGAACTCACCAGTTACTCCCTGGAAGAAAGAGGATGCTGCCTTACTTCCATACAGACAGTCTCAGAAACCCTATGGTACAGTTTTACTCTGTTGGACTGCTAACCCACCAACCGCTCCTCGGAAACCCTGTTCAGTTGGCTATAAATCAGAACCAATTCGATGGCACTTAACAACAACCACAAGGTCAGCAGTTCAAACCTATCAGCAGCTCCTTAGAAACCCTATGAAGTGTTGCTATGAATCAGAATCGACTTGATTGCACTTAACAACAACACAGGGCCACTATGGATTGAAATCAACTCGACAGCAGTTCTTGTATGTATAAAATATGAGAATTGCCTAAAATATCCCACATCTTCCTGCCTGACATTTTTTTGTTTTTGTTTTTGAGCAAAAAAAGCTCTCTGGAATCAGAAGGTTTGCCATTCACCAGGTATATCACCTTGGGCAAGTTGGAGCCTTTTGAGACTCTGATTTTTCATCTATAAAAATGTACAAAGTTGTTGTGAGGACTGAACATGAACCAACTGAAAATGCTCGGAAGGCGTTCAGCGTATGGGACTTTCCTTTCCTGTCCCAAGTCACTCATCACTTCTTCAACATTTACTGCTGGAGATATTCATGTGGTAACTGATTATATATGACTATGACGTACATTTTGTATAATTATCCAACTTTTCATGCATTTATGCTTATTTCTTCAGTCAGAAAAACTACTTAGTACCTTTCTCAGAGCAGGACCTGCCCCAGAGTATAGGAAGCGTGGGGAAAATGTGCACTTCCGGGACAGGACAGGAAGCTGCAGCTGCCCTCTTGGCTCTCAGCTGTGTTTTAGGCTAATGGAAACACCACAGAGCAGAGCGTCTCCAAGTGGGTAAGGCTTGCATTTTACCTTACTGGGCTCCGGCTGGTAGGCTATAGCTTATGACTGCAGGAGAAAGAATGAGGTAGATATACTAGCAGGACATAAACTCACATACCTGGATTAGATAATGTGAACATAGATTGAGAAGCTCCAACAGCTGCAGGTGACTGCCAGCAGCTAACACATCCTGGATCGCGCCTGGCTCCAGCAAAATCTGTTTTGGTTTTAATAAAAAGAAAACTATCCATTACATCACAGATTGATACAATGCTGCTAAGCATATAAATATAGTATACTATATTTAAATTTCTGCTTACTCTCTTTGAACAGGTACAGCTCCTTAAAGTAGAAGTCAGGTCTTTTCTTTCTTTTCAGATTAATGCGCCGAGGTGCTCACGCTAACACTAGCGCACTCTCCTTACTGCAGTGACTAAGTCTCATTCCCCATGTTCAAACTCTGCACTGAACCAAGTATTTGCGGTAGGTAATATGTACAAAGACTTTCCAAAGAACAATATAAATACTTATACGTCTTAAAATCCAATGTAGCTATTTTCACAAACTGCGTCAACCTTTGTGAAATATATAAAAACATCACATATTAGTTTTTTCAAAGTCTATTCCAGAACTTTGCTCTTTGGTAGATCATAAAAATAGTATGGTTGTCAGGTGTTTTAGAGAAAGGGGTGTCTGGGTCTTTTTGCAGTATGAAACCAGTGGGGATTGTTACTCGTTTTTCACTTCTAAACCCTAACAACAGTTAACTTTTACCATAAATTTTGTTTTTCTCAATCTGAGGCTCTCTAGTCCTTTCTATTTAAAATGAAAGCAAACAAACCCTCATAGTTATCCTGGTGACATTGATTCTTAGTGTTTTTTTTGGGGGGGGGGGTTAAATTCAAGTATTTACCTACTTTTGACAGCTTTTGAGCGACTGCACATGAAAATCACACAACCCTGTGGACAAAGTGCACTTTAAATGCATGATTGCCAGGTCTACAAAGGACTGTTCTGGTCCCCCAGGCATCCTACTCTATTCCTCAAGCCCAGTGATTCCCAAAATGAGGTCTCTACACCAACAGCATCAGCATAACCTGAGAACTGGAGAAAACTGTGAATTCTGGAGAAAACTGAGAGAAAAAGAGAAGGCCCTCACCAGACCTACTGACTCAGAAATTGTGTTTTACCAAGTCTTCCAGGTGGTTCTGAAGCCTAGGGAAGTGTGAGAGCCACCCACTTAGTCATTCACTCTACCACTTCTCAAATTCTCTTTTCTACTCAAACTTTCAGTTCCTCTTCTCTCTCCTCATGATCTTCTAAAGGCTCCCACCACCAAATCTACCAACCCACCTACCTATACCTTGATCTATACATCTTGCTTACCCCTGCACTCCATTTGTATACTACACTCCAACCCTGTGTCCTTGCGGTTGCCCTTCTTGGTCTGAATCATCAACTTTTCTCTTTCTACAGTTCCTTTCAGCAAACACATAGGCAAATGTCAAGAAATAAAAATCTTACCCTTGATTCCATAGCTCCCTCCAGCTCCCTTCATGCTCTGACTCATAGAAAAAGTCCTCAGAAAACTTACCCATATGCACTGACCCCACTCTGGTCTCCCTTGAATTGCTCCTGCCGCACTTTGTTCCCATTCTTCCACTAAAACTGCTCATGTCTGCATTGCCAGTGACCTCCACATTTCCAAAACCAGTGGCTATTCCTCCATATTTAATCTTAACAACCCCACAGCAACTAGCAAAGTGGATGACTCTCTTCCTTGGAACAATTTATTTTCTTGCCTCTAGGTTTTCTTTCCACTCCCTCCATCAGCCATTCAATTTCTGTGCTTTCTCTCATCATTAAACTTTGGAGATCCCCAGAGCCCAGTTCTCAGACCTCTTCTCTTTTCTTCTTGCTCTACTCTCACTCTGTGTCTTCAGAATGATCTACACATTGATAGTATCTGGATTTGTTCTCCAATTCCTACCCCCACCCCCTGAACTCCAGAGTCTTACCTTCGACTGTCTACTCAATGTCTCCGCTTGGATGGCTAATGATAATCTCAAATTGAACATGCCCCAAACCAAACTCTTGATCCCCAACACTTACAACCAAGTATGTTTCTATCCCAATTCTACCATGTCAACACATAACAACAGAAATGTCATCTAACCTATAGGCCTCCCCTACCTGCCCAACTCCTCATCACCTCTCATTCTCTATTGCCTTACTCAGTTTCATTCTCCTCTATAACATTACCTCATGACATATTATAAATGTGTTCACTGGGACATAAATGCCAGGAGACCAGAAACTTGGTCTATTTTGTGTCCCCAGCACACAACTAAACAATGAACAATGTCCACCACATAGCTATCATTCAGTATTGATGGATTTAATAATAAATTATTCCATGAGATGCATTGTCTAGAATCCTCCCCAAGATGGACAGACACAACAGCTGCAACAAGACGTTCAAGCGTATCGACACGTGTGAGGATGGAGGCACTAGACCAGGCTTTGTTCTGTTATACATAAGGTGCTAACTCAACGGCAACTAGTAACAACACATCTGTCTATGTATTTCTCTCTGTATATTTAATAACTCAGAATTAGTGTTATTAGATTTTAACATATGAGGGAATAGGGCTCTAAATTACATTTCTGAACTAGTGAAGTATGAAAACATCTGTGGCAAAAAGCACTAACATTCCCTCTTATGGTAAAAATTCTCTATAGCTCCTTTTCCATTGACTCAGAAGAAGAAATCTGAATGTCTCCAACTCCTCAAGGAGGGAGGCTTTGAGTGACATTCAAGAAATTAGCGCAGCTCCCATCACAGGAGCAAGGATGTAGTATTTTCATGCAGGAGAGGCATGGCCTAAGGCAGAGTATGGGGAATAGATGGATTAGAAAGGTTAGTCTTAGCCTTTAAATCCCGTCAGTTGCGCTCATTTCACACAACTGGCATTCATGATAACCTCTGAGGCTCGGTAATGCCAAACACAAAGGCAGATATCGCAGAGAGACAAGATGAATATTCTACAGCATGTGTAACACATCCAGCAGGTTCACTTGGAGAAACACCCACGTGCGAACCCCAAACCAGGATTGTTGTTTTATTTGTTTTGTTTCTGTAGTTTTGTTTTATTTTCTCCTCTCATTATACCCTAACTTTTTCTGAAGGATACTTTAGTACAGAGAATCGCTATATGTCTTGAAAGGGAAGGGTCTGGAAAAAGAAACTCTACCAGGACCATTGCTTCTTGCTCATGGAAACAGGACCAGTGTTTGCAATCCCCACTTGCGCTTGAGTGTTTTCAATTCAATTCTGCTGAATTGGTGGCTGCTTGCTCTAACAAACTTTGTGCAGAATTAGTGCTCGAGCAGGAATATAAGCAGAGGTAGTCAGTCTCCTCACAAGTTACATGTGATGAAATTACATATGGAGACAGTGGTGGTTTGCTGGTTGAATTCTCTCCTTCTTGGACAATACATCTCATGTGCAGCCATCACCCATCTACCAGTGGAAGCTTGTGCACTGCAATGATGCTGCACAGGCTTATGCCACAATAAGATAGACTAGGAAGAAAGACCTGGCAATCTAGTTCTGAAAATCAGCTAATGAAACCCACCTGATCCGCAACTGACCATCTGGGTGATGCAGACTGGGCAGCATTTTGCTTTGTTGTTTGCATGAGTCGGAGGCTGACTCAAAGGCAGCCAAAAAGCACAATATATATGATAGTGGTGGTGGTTATGTGCCGTGGAGTCAGTTTAAGGCGGGGCAAGAGTCCACAGGGCCATCTGAATGGAGTATTTTCTTCTCACCACTTGAGGAGTTGGACATGACACCTTACCACCAAGCTGGGAAGATGGCAACCTCATTACCTGGGGCAGACCCAGGCATCCCTTCCAGAGTTTGTAGAGGACAAGGTCACATGAAGTGAGGAGAAGACGTCCACAGCTGACCCACCAAAGGCTGATACTTTGCAACCATCTTTGGTCAGATTGGTGTAAGAACTGGTTAGGGTGGCACTGGATGATGTTACCAAGTAATAGGAATAAGATCCATCCCTTCCATAGAAAGTGACATCTTTCTAAAGATGCCCAATGAGAATTGTTACATCAATATCCAACCAGGAGCACTGGACTACTAGGTTGGTTTGAAGCATAAGGTCGGCAGTTCAAGTTCACCCCCCACTCCTAGGAAACCCTATACAGGGTCACTATGAGTCAGAACGGACTCGACAGCACTTAAAACAACAACAAAAACTCATCACCTGGGATCACTATGAGTCAAAAATCACCTCAACTTGATGGCATATAATGACCAGTGAAGTCTACAAAATGCCTGTGCTGGCACCATGCGGTGGAAATGCCCTGAGGCTGTAGACCCACAGAAGGTTGAGGGTCTTCCTGATTTAGAAGCTATGGATGGAATCCCCGGAGGCTATAAAACCTAGAGGAAAACCAAGACAGAGCTGACATTCAGAGGTTTACTAGCTCTCCAAAGACAGCTAAGCCCAGAAACACATACAAGGCAGAGGTTGGGAATAGTATCTGACCAAGTCCAGGTTTGCATAATCCAGCAGGTTCTCATGTGTCCTGTGCAAAAGATTGGGTGTAAAATACAGAAAATACAGTATGCATTAGGAATTTTGTGAAATTAAAAAATGTGGAGGTGAGAGAGATAGCGGAAAAGTTTTTTGAAAGCTAAAAAATGAAATTCTCTTCTATACCTCAATATTATCAGGGGTATGTGGAATCACCTAGTAGCAAATTTATATGTTTTAAAGGCAAAATAAAAAACAAAACAAATTAAAAACCAAATGGAGAATAAATTAAATATGCAAAGTATTTGTGCTATATCAAATGAAAAATCTAAGTGTATGCCCTGGTAGCATAGTGGTTATGAATCAGGCTGCTAACTTCAAGGTTGGAAGTTCGAAGCTACCAGCTATTTCACAGGAGAAAGATGAGGCTGTCTGCTCCCATAAAGATTTACAGCCTCGGAAACCCTGTACAGGGTCAATATGAGTCAGAACCGACTCTATGGTACTTAACAAAAACAACATAACAATTTGCATTTAAGTAATAATAATAAAATAGAGCACCTTTGCAAAGACAAAAAAGATTCAATCTTTTTTTAAAAATTGGAAATTGTCTAATTGCCCTGATGTTAGCTGTCATCTCTTGAATACTCTGTCCAAA